AATCCGTAGGAAGTATAGAGTCAATCTCCTTGACGTCATTTTTAAGATAAAGGGCTTTTTCATTTACTCTCAAAAATATAATATAATATTTTTTTTGAGTAGTTAGCGTGATGGCCATACGGTTAAATGCACCTAGGGAAAAGTGGAGATAGGTACGATTTTCATCGGTGCCAATATTCTACGATTTTGTAATACGTTTGTTATGCTTTAAGAAATTTTAATTCGTCTTCGGCAAAGACTAAAATATCTTTGTTTTGTGTCTCTTGAATTTTGCGTCCATTCTGTTGGTGTTTTTTTTACTAATTTTGTAGTAGTTTTCATATTACTTTTCTATATAGTCTTCGACCTAGTTTTTTGAAAAGCATCAGCAACGCCAAAAATTCTTGGCCTTCCTACCATACCACAATATTGCGAACACTTGTTTCACGAAAGAAGCGGCAAGAGGTTAAGCTGGTTTTGATAACAAGCTGAGGAGTCCCCGATGAGACGTTGGATGTACAGTAGAAAAGCGTATTCTGTATGTAGCAACTTTCCGAAATAGCCGGAATTTCCCATGAGTCACTTTCAACGTGCAAGGGCGAGGGTAGGGGCCAACGGGGGCTTTCTCTAAGCCCCACCACGTCTTGTAATTGACGTGCGGGAGTACGCTGAACTTCGTTTAATGGAGCTTTGGGCGCAATCAGCTGATGGCGGAATATTTCTGTGCCACTTATGGCATCCGTTAGGAAGGATTAGCTATTAGCGAGTATTGTTCGCATTTATAAAATGACACTTGATGCACGAGAAGTATCACGGTCTTAACATGTGATTCGAATGTGGAGATTTTCGGGTTCAGTGACGTATCGAAACAGCTTTGGATTAGGGGTTTCTGTAGAATATGTTGGGAGTTTCCTTCGCAGAGCAATAATGAGCCAGTTTTCCTAGTAACACACATATCAAAGACATGGGATAACCAAGATATTAAATTCCGAAAAAAACCTAAATAAGTAATTCCGACCATGTCTCCCTACCCTCCTACGTCAAAGGGTTTGTATGTACGTTAGTATCCAAATCAGGCGCCGCGCGGTGTGTAGGTTAACCTAGTTTATAGAAAACTTCATTCGAAAAGCGAAATTGACACCCTCCTGCAACAATAACGATTTGATGAAGGTTTACTGTGAGCATCTGCGAGTGTATTCGGATATTTTCATCAGAGCTACATAGATTTGTTTGTGCAAAATCCGTCTGATGTTTACAGTAGAAGACCTAGACAGCAGCAAATGTTGCGTATTTAGGATAAAATTCACAAACTCGTGCTATCGAACAGCGACAACTTCAACCAGTAATTGCAAACAAAACAAGTGACACTGCAGTACTTGTACCAAATAAATAGTGAGTATTTTTCTCCGATATTTTTTTTGTGTTTTCGTTGTTTTACCACAAATCAACCTTGCTATCTCAAACGCAGTTGTTTTTGAAAAGTAAAGTGGCAAACGTTCAGGAGACCTTGTGTATAGGGTGATACAACAAACAATATTTCTAGGGCACAACTAACAAAAAGTTCCCATAAGAATATGCTCTAAAATGTCAATAGCAAGATACAGGGTGTTGTATATTTTTATTTTACTGATGAGACTGGATAAGCATAAAACAAATATTATATAATGACGCTATGGTTAGATAGTATCACTTTTCTAATAAGCTGCAAACAATTTTCAATGTCAGACTTCACTAACTACGGCATATTTTTCAAAGATGAACCTGTAATATGTAAAATCATCGCTATGATAATGGTCTGAACTCCATAATTCATACTAGGATAGCCCATCTCGCGAAGAAGGCCACCTATGGAGGAATGACTATAGGAACTCAAAGCTTAGGTCATGGAATCTAAAAATGACCTTCTCTAGAGCAATCTTTGAAGCAGATGTTACATTGAGTCAAACACACATAGCTGACGTTGACACACAGAGCTGCTACAAGTGAATGTTAGCTAGTATTTAGTATATGTTAAATGAATTTTGGACGAAAATTTCTCGAGAGAAAGCGGTTCATGTGAAACTGAGTACCGTTCTCAAAAATGCAATAGGTGTTTCAAAAAAGTCAATTACCTAGATAGCAGTTTTCTTTTTTTCTTAGGGGCAAGATTTCCCAATTTCGGTATAATATTAGGCAAGAAAGTTTTTTTATCTATTGGCTATGATGTTAGGAGCTCATGTACAACATTTCAAGCCAATATAACTTCAACACCCTGGGCAATTTAGGATATTTTTGTGACGTATATGAAGCAGTAGCTAAATCCAATCTAATATATTTCTTCATCGGATGATGTTTTGTATACACCAGGAGAGGTGGAGTATTTTTGTGTTTGGTTTCATTTTAACGGATTTCATGTAGAATAAATTAATAGTTTATTCTAGGAATATGGAAAAATTAAAACATAATATTTCATCTGAAAAGATCAACATACTTTCCATATCTAGTATTTTCATATCTTCGATATTACACAGTGCGGAGCCCTTTTGTTAGCCATTTGATTGTTAGTCTAAAAATTGAATAACAACCCATATTTTCTTAGAAATAGATGTCCCCTTTAGATTATTTTTCAATTTACTAAGGCAAAAAATTGATCTGGCTTTCGTATAGATATACTACATCGATGCCTTTTATTAGTTTTGTCAAGCTCTCTTACTTTTTACTGGCTCAGCACTGGATACTCATTTGATTTGCAAAAAAATCTACATGGAAGCGTAGAATTTAATTACGTAGGAGTAGCCTAACAATGTTTGAAAGTAGCTCGTGGAAGATCAACAGAAACAAAGTTAAGTTGATCCAACGGCACAATTCATTTAATTCGTTTAATTGAGTTTTGAGACAGCTGGCTTCAGTCGGTGCGGTGCTGCGTTGCACCTGGTTTTAAAGTTGAAAGCAGCTTTTCACCACAGACCTTCAAATTCCTGGATGGTAGATTTGGAACTAGCAGAACTGGTTGAAGAAACTTCGTTCTTGCTTTTTAAAATGATAGAACAGGTGCCCTATATATACCTCACTGTCCGACGTGAAGATTAAGAATCTCCAAAAGCTCAAAAAAAGGAAAGCGAATCCGAGCAGAAGATAGGGTAGGTAACCCGAGCGATACGTATTTCAGCTGGTTGGCTTCATCAGGCCCGAAATGAATGCACATATGTAACTATAAAAGTAGATACACGTGCCCATACATCCGGATACGGGTGTAACCTGTATATATATACATATATATACATATATATATTAAAGACCTACTTACTTGATTTGATTTTGCGTAAAATCGCAAGGAATGAGGATGAGGAGGCAACCACGAAGGAGGATGCAATTCAAGGGTAAAACAGGACAAGCAGTACTCAGCTATTGGAATAAATATATGCGAGGGCCACTTTCAAAGAAGAAACAGATCGCGCATTGTACCTGGGCACCCTGTTACGTGACATGTTCGTTCAACCTCAGAAATTCTCGGCCAGTTTCTAACTATGCCGCCATTACGTTTCACGGCTTTGTCGATGTTGGATGTGTGGTTGTACAGCTTTATTTGGCGCCATATCTATCAGTAAACTCACCGATTGTTGAGTGCGCTCGGTAATTCTGTTTTTAAAGTCAAAAAGGACCCTCTTGCTAAAATTGACCAGCAGCTTACTGAATTAGGCGCGCAATTCAAAACGACGGGCGGGGCCTGCTCTCTAACGGCGTCGTTCTGCTTCACGACAACGCTTGGCCTCGTGTTGCGGAAAGAACACTGACACAACTGGAAAAGTTTCATTGAAAATTACTGGATCATCTATCATACAACGTTGGCCATCAACACTAACACCATCGAACTTTGATCTTTTTTTCCAAAACTGAGGCATTTCTCGGCGAAAAGTGCTTGAAAAATGATGACGTATTGGGTTAACTGGGTTAACGGTAAAGCGACAGCGTTCTTCAACGATGGGATCCAAAAGCTGGTGCCACGAATTGACACATCTTTAAATTTCTATGGTAACTATTTTGAAAAATCAAAATAAGTTTATATTTTAGTTTGTGATACAATTTGAGTTCATAAGTAAATTTCTCTAACTGCATCATTAAACGGTTCTTACTTAAAAAATGGCACTCGTAGATAGGTGTGAACCACGAAAGTGACATAATGGGTGATCCAGAACTGAAATCTAAACCATCGTCTGTATTAGATGTACCTTGTTCGCCTCGCAACTAGCAACACAAAAATATTCTAGTTTTATTATACGAGTATATAAAATGAGAATGGTTCTGAAGTTATCTTACAGATATAGTGCCAGAACAGATCAATTAATCTGAAAAGTATATTTTTCAAATTATACAGTTTTATGAAGAACTTGCGGGCTGATTAGGTTTATCACGTTGGTTCTAGTTTGTGACATTGTAGTCTTTGAGCAGTTTTAAAGATTACCCTAATATAAGTTATAAAACTCATTATTTAAACTACAAATAAAATACAAATATTATAATATTATATCAATCAGTGTGATGACCTACTATTATCTTTAAGCTTCTTGGATGTAATAACAAATGAGTAGATACTTTCAATGAACCATCACGTTCATTCAACGTTTATGTTAACAATAAGGTAAATTAACCTTAAAAGTGCACATTCAATAAGCACTTTAAAATTGCGTGTATTTATAATTAAAGATCGGATTTATATGTATTTACATGTTTTTACATATAACATAATATTTAGGGCTTTTTCGGATAAAAACATATAACATAATATTTTAGGTTTTTTCGACATATAATCCATATACAAAGACATAAGCTTTAAAAAACATAAAATAGCATTTTGTTTTTTTTTTATTCAGACTAAACACATTTATTATTACTCATTGTTATGTAATTCTGACAACGGTGCACAAATTATAAAGACTACAAAGCATATCGGTGATTCCCCCAAAGCATATCGGTGATTCCCCGAAACTTGGCGCCGTGCCGTGCACCTGTCGCAATCTTTAGTTAGAAAACTTGAGTAGTAAATAAACACGTATTATTCTTCGCTGCCCTTTAATATTTAAAAAGATCGCCATGCCGAAAGTGTCAAGCTCTAAAGCTGATTTACTTAAGAAATGGATAAAGAATGCTAAACATTTATCCACTGATGGAACAGTTGTATACTGTGACAAGTGAGTATATGTATTAATATAATAATTAATTAATCTTTCATTATCTACGGAGCTATTATTGTAAATATTCATTATTTCAAGGTTTCTTAAAAGTTTTTTTAAGAGCTCGTTTGATTTTAGGTATCCTCAAACCAGAAATTCCAGATCGATCAACACCTTGTTACAGCCATTCACAAGGAAATGGAGAAACGATGTAACGGGAAAGTGCAACAAACGTTTATTTCAACTGCATTTTTATTTTGATTTATGCAACTTCATGGCACAATCAAACATACCATGGAATAAATTAGAACACCCGGCATTCCGTAAATTTTTAGAAAAATATTGTAACCGCCATATCCCAAATGAATCCACATTGCGCAAAAACTATTTGGAGAAATGTTACCAGGTATGTTTAGAAAATATTAGGGAAAAGTTATGCAACACAAATATTTATATTCAAGTTGACGAAACAACAGATGCATGTGGTCGTTATATTGCCAATATACTTGTTGGTTTTTAAACGAGTCTACTCTTCCAATGTCTTATTTATATAATTCTGCAGCCTTAGAAAAAACCAATCACACGACCGTTGCACGTTTTATTAAAGATAGTTTAACCCTACTATATGCACCAAATCCAGTTAAATCAGAAAACGTAAAATTGATGCTTTCTGGTACCGCTCCTTATATGATTAAGGCTTTACTGGTATTTTAAACGGAATTAATACATTTCATCTGTATGGCTCCTGCATTGAATAGATTAACCGAATTAGTACGTGCAGAATATCCTTCTGTTAATAATTTAATTAATAACGGAAAAAAGGTCTTTTCAAAAGCTCCCTTAAGTGTAGAATTTTTCAAAGAAATGGCTCCTGGCTTGCCCTTACCTCCTGATCCTGTTATTACAATATGGGGTACATGGCTCAATGCTGCCTTGTTTTATGCATATAATTTCGTAAAAATCAAAGAAATTTTTCTTTGGCTTGACGCTTATTCTATAGCACTTAGATCTTGTAAGGAATCGATACTAGCACACACACATGTTAGCAAAAGAAATAATGGAGCTGGAAACTACCCAGTTGTCATTAAACGACTCTTTCAGAATCATAGAAAACGTGATTGAAGAACTAAGTCTTATTCCTGGAGAAATTGGAAACAAAATTGGGGTTAAATGGGAAAGTGTTTTATCTCGCAATCCTGGATACCAACAAATAAAAAATGTTTGTTACATTTTGAGAGGACAGAACCAAAGTGATCCGGATATTAAAATGTAGCCTTCAGACATAGCTTCCTTGAAATTAGCGCCGATCACATCATGTGATGAGGAGCGCCCATTTTCGGCTTTTAAAAATTTATTAACAGACAAACGCCATAATTTAAGCATGGATAGTATTAACCAGTTATTAGTTTTATACTGCAACCCTATCGTTTAACTTTTAGTTTGGATTAGTACTGTACAGAAAAACCTATTTTGTTTTGTTGACTTTTAGTTTAAAATTATTTGATATATTATATTTTTTATTATATTAAACATTATATATTAATATATAAGTGTTTATTTTTTTGTGTTCGCAGATTTATGTTTCAGTTTTTCCACATATAAAATCCATATTTCGTCTATTTTTTACAGCATAAAAAAAACATATTTTGCAGTTTTATCGTACCACATAAAAATCCGGATCTTATTTATAATGTATTTAAACTGGTTTTGAAAGTGCCGAGGAGGTAGGTGGTCAGGATAATAATGTTTTATGATGGTTTTTGGCTTTGGTTTTATTGACCGCTTTCAGCGTTGGCCCTTTTACGTTGGAGGCGAGTTTATTACTGCCTTAGGGTCTGGCTTTAACTACAGTTTTATTCCACAGTTTTAATGCAGTACTTAATAAACCCGTTCGGTGCTACTTGGGCTTTTCTGTGGTTTCCATTCTAGTTTGGACCATCACCGTGCAGGAGAGACTGTTGCATAGAATGAATTCTAGAAGTACGAGCACATCGATGGTCCCTTGTCCTTTCACTCGTTCGACTGTAGGTCCGGGAAAAGTTTAATCGAAGTGCATGTCTCCATTGTTTGCACTGGCAGGGCAGCGCAGCTAACAACGAGCAACGAGGAAGCACGGCTGCGACAGACCTGCACCTTTTGTATGCTAATTTCCTGCAACAATGTCTTAATGTCGACGGTCGGCAGGCTCGCCGGGGGCCCTTTACCTAAACCGAATGGCAGGAATGCCTGCTGCTGGTGTCAAATACGGCTAAGGTGAACAGTTTTTCCTGCTAGGAGCAACAGACGTGTTTGGAATTGGAATGTGTCTATGAATGCTTTTGTTGGAAAACGCGGTCCGCAAGTATTTGCCTGTAGTCTGGTCAAAGTAACATAAAAACATAATTGTCCAAAAAATGAAACGTGTAAGTGCGAAAATTTGATAGTTGTATGTTTGGGTGATACGAGCTTAAAGAAGGATAATTATTATGGTTTAGTGCTGAATCGTAACCGGCGAGGAAGTATCGTAATCGCGAAAATTTTAGAAAATATGAAATGTTATGTGTTATGTTTTAAAAATCACTTGAAAATGAAGCAATCGAAAAATAGTCTTCGATGGCTTCTAACACAAGGTTTAAGTTTTAATTTATATAACATAAATATGTCCTAAAAGTTTTGGCACAAAATATTTATCGGACTCTTTTTAATGAAGAAATTTATCTAAACACTAACTAGTTAACATAACTTACAACTCAATACTATACTATCGAATTATTTGAGGAGGCCCATTCTGCTCTACCAGACGCAACTTTCTTCGGATGTGTCTCATGTGGTCCTGGACGGAATTCAGATCAATTTCTGTCAGCTCTTCGTAAATTCGCTGTCTTAATTGTTCTTCATCTTTGAGCTTCCCAGCCTCCATGATAAACCTTTCTACACAGTAATTCCCAAAAATCCTCTCGGGTGAGCCTGCGGCAATTTCGTAGATAAACTCAAGCAATTTGGAAATTCAGTTATCAATACAGCTCTGACTATTCAAAGCCTCACCCCTCACTTTTCCTACAGCATTTTTTTATACGAAGGAGTTGAGAGTATTTGGGCCACTTAAGTCTCTTTCGATATACGAGCCCCTTCCCACTTCAGTTGGCCCACTACAAGATTTGTACCAAAATATGCCTTTATAAACTAAACATGACGAAACTATTTACTTCTAAACCGATTTATTTTCTCAAAAACATATTAGATACACTCTAGTCGTAAGAAATACATATTTAAAATCACTTAGACCTATAACTAATAGAACATCTGAACAAATAAACAATGGGCGAATAAATGCGCGAAGTTAACAAAGCAACAATAAAATTGAAAGATTACCATTGGTAACATCACCTTTATTTTTTATTACGGCTGAAATTGGTTGGGGCATAGTGTTAACCAAGTTTTGGCAAAAATTTGGTGTAAAAAAAATCCCATATTTCTTGAAGCTTTTGTCTCAGTTCGGTGATTGTACGAGCAGGATGTTGTCGTAGAACCTTTTTCATCTCGTGCCACAAAGTTTCAATAGGTGACAGATCTGGACTGCTAGAAACCCATTTCAAAAGTGATACATTATTTTCGTCCACCCATTTTATAGCCTTTTTTGAAACACAAAATCTTGGCCGGATGTCAAACATTCTTCCATCACTGATAAAAGCGATTCTTCTAAAATTGCCAAATATTTGTTTGTATCCACATTTCCCTCGATAAAATTAAGTTTTCCTACTCCTTGGGATGACATACTACCCCAAACCATAACGGATGCTAGAAATTTCACTTTTCTCTTCAGACAGTCAACATGGAATGCTTCATTTTTTTTTTGCGAATGACTCTACTGCGACTGTCACCAACACAAGCTTCCAATCGGGCCCCATCACTCCATTGTATTGCACACCATTGTTGAGGTGTCCATTGTCCATGTTCTTTAACCCATCTAAGCCGATTTTTCTTTTGCAGTGGAGTTAATAGAGGATTTTCTTTGGCCTATAGACAAGTTGTGCAATTTTAGGGTTTTTACTTCACTTTTTTTTATAAGAAAACTTACCTTGCAAGTGCTAAATCCCAGTTTGTGGGCCTCTCTATGAGTTGTGGACCTCGAAATTCTCCTTCCAACAGCGTCACTCCACAGAGCACTTAATTGTAAATAATTGGCACGCCTATTTTTCACGATTATTCTTCTTAATGCTCTTCGGTCGGCATTTGTGATATCACATATCGTGGCTTAATATCAACTGAACCAGTTACGTTATATTTTCTTACAATATTTCTCACACTGTACCGCGATAAGTCTAACAAAGTTGCAATTTCTGAGTTTAATTTCCCAGAATTAAAAAATTTAATTATCAGTAACCGAATTTTCTCACTAATAACCTTTCCTCTACCCATTTTGAAAACCTTAACTACCTAAAACTATTTTAAACGTATGCTGACAGCTGTGATTAATGAAAACAATTGTCATGGCTTTTATTTTTCATAGCCACCTATGCGTTATAGGCTTATTTTGTATTGAAATGAAAATAGGTTGATATGCTGTAATTGCAACACGTGTTATTTTTATGCTGCAAATTTGATTAGGGAGTGATAAAGTTGGTGTTTTCTACTATATATTATCAAAATATTCAGTGTTAATATTTTAAACCTATAACACTCTGCTACATTTTTATTGTTTGTGTTTGATAAGAAAAAACTAAGATTTCAATAGTTGGGCCAATTATTGAAGTGGGAAGGGGCTCGTAGAAGCCCATTCCTCCTTATTTCCAAACATATCGTATTCCTAGAGGATCTGCATTGCCGAGCCAGTCTCCTTGTTGACATTCTAACCTGATTTTTTGCTCTTCCCTCTGACCTATGTACAGTAAATGCACATAGTCTCCCACTTTTTGGGAAATCGGACATGGTATTCCCTGCTCGCACTCCACTATTGTTTCAGCTTTGGGTAACCCCAACTTGTAGATACCTTTTCTTATTTCTAGTTTAAACATCTTAAAGCGAAAACTTCAAAATGAATGAATGTTAACTGACAGTAAAGTAAACAAACTTTTGTTTCCAAAGGCAATTTGGTATTACTTTGTGTTTGTCAAAATTAAAGCCAATGAATTTTGTTCCCAAACTTTTAGGACATACGTTACGTAGCGGCCTCAAAAATTATATTTTTTATATCTATATATCTATTTTATATATCTATATTTAACACGCTCTGTTGCTGCAAAAATCGCCAAATTTCGCAGCAAATATAAGATATATAAGATCAAAGGCAGTTTCACCGGTCCACGTGGAGTAAAGCACGCCTATGCATGAACATAGCCAATGAGAAAGCGTGTATTTCAGAGCTCCGAACAAGTGCAGGTGGCTACTGAAAATTGAAACAGTTTAGCCAGTGCCGTGTAGCGGTGAATAAACGTGTTTTGTTTAGTCTGTCCGTGTTTTTTCATAGATTTTATTAGTTTGTGTGTTTTTGACTTTTGAATACTCAGTTTACTTGTTGATTTAATTGTTGCGTTGATTGTTCTTGTGTGTCCTAAATATGGCTCTTTGGAGACCTTGGGAAAACGCTCCAAGCCACGAGGAGATGGTTGATGAACCTGTGCAGGCAGAATTCTTTCATAAAGATTTAGAGGAACAGACCCAAAGAGTAATCCTAAATATGTATGATTGTCTGAAAAACGAAAATCCAGATTCCTCGCAAAATCAAATTTTAAACAGAATCTGTATCCTGACAAAAATCAGTCGGTCTACCATTTGTCGGGTTATAAAAAGGGGAGATGTAGTCAACCATTCCTTCCACAGAAAGCGCATAGGGCAAAAATTAAAAAGAATAAACGTGGGTTTTCAGGAAGATATTCGTCGTATAATATACGGATTTTATAAAGAAAATTTGGTGCCCACGTTGGAAATGATACGGGATAAATTAAAAGATTATCCTGAAGATTTTTATAATTACAAATGCTTAGACTCACTGCACTGTATTGTAAAACTGTGTGGTTTTCAATACAAAAATTAGATAAAAGAATGGTGATTATGGAGTCGTCTCGAATCGTTGAATTGCGCCAAGAATTTTTGCACAAAGTTAAAATCTATAGAGAGCAGAAAAGAAATCTGATTTACCTGGATGAAACGTGGTATGATACCCATGATGTTGTGCAGTACGGCTGGGTTGACGACAGCAACAAGTGCATTTTAAATGCACCATGCAACCGTGGAAAACGAATCATTATTCTCCATGCTGGCAGTGAAAATGGATTTATACCTAATGCCTTGCTGTCATCTGCCAAAAATATCAAAGAATCATGTGCCGACTATCATGAGGACATGACCTCCGACTTATTTGAAAAGTGGATAGAGCAGCAGTTAATACCAAACATTTCCCCAAATTCAGTGATTATTATGGACAATGCGCCATACCATTCC